ATTTATTGTCTACTGGGACTATTGGGACTGTAATTTCATTGTAATCTTTATTGGCATGAATCTGTCGTTAATTTTCTTGTGTTATGAATTTCATTATCATATTACCATTATTTAAAAATTATATTAAATTATGAGGGATTCATGAGTGGAACCATGAGCAGAACAAAACTCTGCCACCAAATTTTTATGACACCTAAATTTTCAATTATCTACTGTTATTATACGCAGTAATCGGTGACTTTAATTTGGATAAGTCAGCAAAAACGGGTTGCGCTCACAAGAAGATTTTCATGAGTCATCGGCAAGAAGTGATGTCAAATACAGAAATTTTTAAATATACATTCAGATCCGTTTTATAAAGTATTTGTAGAACTTTTTTTTTAAAAAAAAAAACTCGGACACTATTAATATTTCAATGTGATGTCAATATATACAAGTTATACCACCTCCATTTCTAATTATAAAACTTCCTTTACAGTATATAAACAAGATCTTATAATTAGAACCGGAGTCAGTATTATTTACAAACTATAAATAGTGCAATTTATTTTTATAACTTAAAAAGCGTGCTTAGTAAAGTTACGCATAATTATCCAACTTTCTGCAACAATTTCACGTTCAATTTCGTCTGCTTGCACCACTCTCTCAATCTGAACCTATTATTCAAAGTGCTTGCGCAAGGGCCAAAGAAGGACAGAGACATGCGGCTGAAGTTGTAGCACAAGCATCTCACAGTGGTCCTATTTGCCATGGCGAAGCTCTCCCAGTCTGGGGAGAACGAAGAACCCACCGCTGCAAAACAGGGACAAGAAGCAATGCAAGAGGATGCAGAAAGATCATAAGCAAATCAAAGCTTTATTATACTTTATCCTGACAGAAGCACTAAAACATGAATATGTAGGCCTTGCTTGCTGTCCCTCTTTTGCACCACTGGGTTGTTCCAATGGCAGTCTCCTTAATTTTATGCACAAGTGATGGCTCACAATCAACGTTTACAGAATTCCCAATGTTGTATTTTTACGAAGAATGCATGCTCTGTTATATTCTTATCCAGCACAATCTGATCCATGAACCATTTCTTTAAATCTGTTATACCCCTCTTCTTTTTTCTCACTCCCACATAACGAAAACTATAGGAAGAACACGACCTAAACTTAAAGGGCTATTAAAACGCTATCCAAATCTTCAAAGCCCTCGTAGTTGTAGTAAATGGAGAACTAAGTCGAGGTTGTTTTGGCAGTCACCTCGATGATGAAACTCAATTTATTAGAAGGACCCTTTTGGCCATCTTAGCTCCGGAGAGTCGGTCACGTGAATTATATATGCTCTATCTGAAAACTACTCGTGAGAGTGAATGGCGACGCAGGGGAGGACCCTTCAATTCATTCTCTGCCTTTTGAGTTTTGACCATGAAAGTTTGGAAGGTACGGGTCCTCCCTTCACTACACCCAAGACTCGGCTCCTCCAAATCAATTTGGATTCCTTAACCCGAACTTCGTTTGGAACAAAATACAGTAAGGAATCCAAAGTTCATTTGAAGAGATTTTATAATGAAAGATTAAACAAAAACATCACAAGAGGTTCATCCCAGAATCACAATGGTAAAAGGTTTTTATTTACTTCACTACGTTCGGATCTCACAGAAACACGAACATAATTTGATTCCGTACTAAGCATTAAATCTGGCAGACACACCCAAGTGGCCATCAAACTCACAATCTTAAGGCAGACACACCCAACTCTTAGCAATCAAGCAAGCACACTACTACATAACAAACCAAAACAGTCATAAACTTGATGATCCAAGGCTAACTTATCATATTAGCCCATTCAAAAAGTGCTTTTTATTTATTCAAGCTCCAGTCATCACCTTCTCTAAGGCCAAGATATATTCATAGACCTTCTTCTCATCAGGAAGAGTCTTGGACACACTCTCTCTGCTCTGAACGCACCTCTTCACCCAAGCCATGAGTTTAGGGCACTCTGCTTCCATCTTGAAGTGACCATAAGTCTCAAAGGTGTAAAACCAGCAAGAAAATGGAATCAAACCAACATCAAGAAACCCAAACGAGTCACCCCCATAAAAGGGCTTGTCCCCAAGTGCCCCTTCCAGAAGCTTAAATATGTCGAGCAGCTCTTTCTTGGCAGTCTCGTGCTCTTCTCCCTTTGAAAGCCACATTTTCCTCCACGTCTCATACACCTGCATCCCCATCAATCCCAATTCTCTTATTCACAGACGACAAGAGATATATAAAGATGAAACATAGATTTCCTCTTCAAATATAAAAAGATTTTGGCACTGAGATGAACAACAAGCATGGTAAATAGAACAATTCAATAAGAAGAGCTCATAGAATTTACCTTTTTGTCAATGAAATCAACCCAGAATCTGGCTTGAGCTCGCTCGTATGGATCCGAAGGCAAAAGCGGAGATTTGTCCTTCCACACCTCGTCGATGTACTGCACAATAATGGCAGATTCGCAGACGGGTTTGCCGTTGTGGACTAGAACTGGGATTTTCTTGTGAATCGGATTCATTTGCAGAAGCAGAGGGCTCTTGTCCCTCAGATTCTCTTCCTTATACTCATACTTCACACCTTTCTCTGCCAGTGCGATCCTAACCCTCATTCCAAACATGCTCGGCCATGTATCCAACAGAACTACCTCGCTCGCCATTGTTGCGCTCGATTCTCGAACGTTTGAGGTACCAGAGTTAGAGAGGCTTCAGTGAATAAGAAAATATCTTAAGGATCAAAGAAACGAGAGAATGGCTGATTAAGTTCGCCGGGCCTAACACCCTTATAGATGAAGATAAGGTTCGCGAAACAAACAAAGCCAACGGAGATGGAGATACTTGGTCCCAGAAGAAACAAGAGAACTCTGGAGCTCACACTCTCTTAGAATTCTCGGGTGATCTCATGCTCTCATAATAATAGCATCATGATAATTAATTATATTTAGGAGTTCACCGACACTGTTATCTAGAAAACTAATCCTGACCAAGCGTCATTTTTCCTAGAATAATTCTAAAAGAAGGGAGCAGTTCAATGTTTGACAGTGACAAAAATTATGAAATCAATCGAAGCCATCTAAAAATAATATTGAACGAAGAGATTTTTTTTTCCCCCCCACAGCGAACGAAGAGAACTAAAAATTGACGTTTTACTTTATTTTTTTTTTGCCATTAATTGACATTTTACTATTATTTTTTCTTTTAGGTGTCAACCTACGCACCATGCTGAACATTTTTATACTTATTATTTAATTATTTATAGCCGGCCGCCGCGCTCGAAGATGGCCTCTAGCGTTTGAGTGCGTAAGTAATATTTTTTTATTCGCGCCTATCTTAAAATAATTTTTTAATGCAATTTTCGTCCTAAAATATTTTCTCAGTAGCAACGTGCACTTTAAATTGAAGATATTGAGAGCCATTTTAAAATTAAAATATTAGATACATCAAAAATTATTTTAAAATATACTTTAAACTAAAGTGTTGCTGAATGTATAAAAAATTAGTTTAAAATGTGAAGTTTAATGAAAAAAATATTTTGAGGTGTTGCATATTACTTGGTTTAATCTCTAAATTTCAAATGCATAAAAAATTAGATTGGGATGCTAAGTTAATCTCTAAAAATTTTTTTGCCAAATAAATATTAAATATTTACATTTTTTAAATCAAATATAGATATTTTTTAACTAGAAATAATTATGTTCAAGATACTGTTAGCAAGTTGTATAGAGATTTACATTGATATCATTAGTTTAAGAGAGTGTTTGAAATATCCAAAAAGTACTTTAAAAGATGCTCTTATACAAATTAAGATAAAACTCCTCTTATATATTTATTTCATATATCTTAAAAAAAATTTTAATACAAGAAAAGGCTAAATGCCTAAAAACTCAAAGAACAACTAAAGGGGATTAGCTCCCAAACTCTCAAAACCAACAAGATTCCTTAAACTAATAGGGTAGGAGTCCATAATACTATTTTCGGTTTTAATTATAAAATCCCGTTTGTAGTCTACAAATGAGGTCTTAAAACCAGAAGTGGTAGTTGAAACAGACAGACTTTGTTTGGCCACAACATCGGCGAGCTCATTTTGTTCTTTGGAAATATGTTGCCCTTTCACACTCCATGAAGCTCTCATAAGTTTCTTGATTTAGATAACTATAAAATCACTTTTAAAACGATAATTTTGTTTCTATCCAAACACTTTTTATTCATTTTCTTATCCAAACACTTTTTGAATGTCATCTTATGAGCTAATCCCTGTATAACTATATACATTATCCCTTTAGAAGTTAAGAATAATCTGGCCCTCGTTTAAGCCCAATATCAAAATCGGATCCATTCATTAGATGCGAGTGTAACCCATGATTTTTCGCTGGGGCAAAAAAAAAAACATTTTTAACAATCTTTACCTTCCCCACAAGATCCACCCAGCAAACTTAGTTGTCCCACAAACTCTCAAAGTCATTGTTACCTGTTATTTGGGTTCTTCGACAAAATAGTTTACTAGGGTCGTCATGGTTTTGGGATATCCCCCCCCCCCCCCAAAAAAAAATTTTAGTAACCCGTACAAATGGTGTCGGCTCTCTTTCTTTGTTTCTTGTACAACAGATGGTGTTGGCTCTGTAAAGTGTAAACCACAAAACTTGTCCATTTGTCATTATTCAGATCCTCTCCATTCGGCAATTAAAGGCACTCACGGTGCAGCAATAGATTGTGATTCCATAACTACATATTTTCCCTTTCTCTTCATCAGCATTCCAGGAACTGGAGAGGATTCATTTTAAATTTGCCCTTATACTGCAAACTGGCTCCCGTTTGAGACACTACAATGTAAATCTCCATACAAGTACTGAGAAACAAAAAGCTTCTTTAGAATAGCGGTAGAATCCTTCAAAAACAACTTTTTTAATCATAATTTACAAAATACGAAGTAAATATACGATAAAAATTGTCTCAAGTTGCATGAATAAGTGCTTTTTGGGAGCACAAAATAGAATTTTACTGCAATGTGTGCCTAATGCTGCAGAAAACCAGCAGGCATTGTACAGCGAACTTACAATCACATTTTGCTGTATTGAATTAAGACATAAAAAACTTACAAATCATGACAGATTCAAGTTTATTGATGTTGGGAAAGAAAGTGTTCCCAGAAATATCTTATAAAAGAACTTACAGTGGTGGGACATCTGGTTGAAGATAAAGCAAAAGCTTTGCTTCTTTATGGTTATATATAATTACTTCTAGCCTCAATGGAATTAGGCTAAGACAAGTGCGAGCTCAAATGTTAAAACTCTAGATCACCTGCACAAGTCGCCACAGGCCAATTAGTTTTCTGAGTTGTTGATGATTAATCATAAGAAGTTTGCGAAAGAAGCTCAGATGTTTTGATTATGGAATATATATATCATCGACTCGGATTTGCAAATTTAATCTGGCACCTTGTATCTTAGCAAAGATAGTAAGCTAAGGGGATTTACTAATTTTATGGACTTTAATTCTACATATCAAAGTATAAAACCGACCAGCAGTGATTCTCAAAACGATTTGTCGCTCCTGATAGAAGACCAGCAGCAGCAACACAGTCACAGGGTGAAAGTCCGGTGAGGCAATGGCAAAACACAGAATTTTAGATCATTCCATAGAACCAATATGCATGACATCAACCAGTTGAAAGAAGCATCAATAGAAAGGAAACTCTTTAGGACAAGGAAGAATACATGCTTTTCTCTTCAGATGTATGGCTTATTAAGCATATCACAGAGAAGCATTAGATAAAGAGCACGATAATCCAAAAGAACTAACGAGAATTGAAATTCAAATAGGCATCATGACGATTAACAAAATCACCGTTGGCAACTATTTGAGAATGTCTTATGTATCACTGATACATGTCTTGCTCCATATTTTGCATTTATTTACTCTTTGAAATGGTTCGTAGCCAATGATCTATAGTTTGTATTCACAAGAACGACACTATCCACTGATAAATTAACTTTATAGCCTTCAATGTGAAGTAATAGACAATTAATTTAAGAGGAGCGGAGTCCCATCACAGGCAAAAGAGAAATGTCTCAGCTGAAATTCAAAATGAGATTATTAAATGTATACGTAAATATAATTCACCAACTAGGCCAAAATGAAAGAAGATCAATTCCTTCAAAACTAACAGGGGAACTAATTCAAACTGAGATAGCTCCATTAGTAAATACAAGGTTTCTAACCTTTGGACGAAGCATCTTCATCTAGTGGGGATTCTGATGTCGGAGTCAATGGAGAATTGTTGACATACTCCCTAGCATCAATCAACATCGCAATGACCTCTTTCATTGTTGGCCTATTAAGTGGGGATGTACTGGTGCAAAACAGAGCAATTTTGAGAACAAGAGACATCTCGTCGATTGTTTTTTGTGCACTCAGATTTAATCTTCTGTCAAATAATTCAGATGTTGGTACTGACGCTTGAATTGACCTTCTCACCCAAGTAACTAGATCACCACCTTGCTCCAAAGGTTGCACAGGTGACCTGCCAGTAACTAGTTCCAGCAAAACTACCCCGAAGCTATATATGTCACATTTCTCAGTCACCTTCATGGTGTAAGCATATTCTGAAAAGATATCCAGGAAACTATAAGAAACAAAAGCAAAAACTATGGCCATAAGCCAGCCGATTAAAACATCATCTTCTTAAGCACATCACAAAAAAAGCTTTTTTGGCAACATTCATTATTGCATCAAAGGAATTTAGAATCAGCATAGAACATTTGACAATCAGTTACCCTTCTTACCAGGAGCAATGTAGCCATATGAACCTGCCACAGCAGACATGGATTTGGAGTAGGAAAAGTCGACCAACTTAGCCAGGCCAAAGTCTCCAACATGAGCCTGATACACCTCATCGAGCAATATATTGTTTGACTTTATATCGCGGTGGATAATTTGAGGTTTACAATCGTAATGAAGATAGCACAAGCCTTCTGCTGCTCCAAGAGCAATTTTGTAGCGACTGCTCCAACCCAATATACATGTGTTTGGATCTGAATGAAGTTGTTCACCAAGGCTACCATTTTCCATGTATTCATACAAGAGAATATTAGAATCCTCATGACAACAGAATCCAAACAGCTTCACAATATTTCTGTGCCTGATCTTTCCCAGAGTCGAAATTTCTGCAAGGAAACTTCTGTCTACATTTGCTCCTTCTCCACGAGAATTCAACTTTTTGACAGCTATCACCTCACCATCGGTCAGAACAGCCTTGTAGACAGTTCCACAAGCTCCTCTTCCTATAACCAAAGCTTCAGAAAAATTGCTAGTAGCTTCCAAGAGATCCTGGTATGTGAAACCTTCTTTAGGGAAGTAATAGTTATCTAGGACATGAGGTTTTGATTGCCCCTCAATTGAGACAAAAGAAGAGCCACGGCGTTTCATGGCCCAACATATAAAGACTATGAAAATGAGAGAAACAAATCCCACCACTGCAGAAACAATGCTCACTATCTTTTGCTTTGATGAACCATCTCTGGACCAGCTTGGAGTATGAGATGGATGACAATAATATGAACCTACTCGACACAACCCATTGTTTCCAGCAAAATTTGTAAAATTCATCTTACGAAATGCCGGCGTGTCTGGAATGACCCCTACCAGTTTATTGTTGGAAACATTGCATAGTAAGAGGCTGGGAAGGTCACCAATTGATGTAGGAATTTCACCAACAAGCTGATTGTCATTTAAATAAAGACTTTCCAACATTTGCAAGCTCCCAAGGCTGTCAGGAATTGTACCAGAAAGTTTGTTATAACTCAGGTTAAGAGCAATCTGAAGAGCAGCTAATTGTCCTAAATGAAAAGGAATGCTCCCAAAAAACAAGTTACCGCCGAGTTCCAAATCTGTAAGACGTGAAAGGTCCCCTAAAGCACTCGGTATTGTTCCAGAGAGTCTATTATCTGAAAGTTTCAACAGCTCCAGATTCACCAGCTTGCCAATATCATCTGGAAGATCACCAGTGAACCCGTTTCTACTCAGATCAAGCCTCTGGAGTTTTATGCAGTTTCCCAACTCATGAGGTATACTTCCACTGAGAAAATTAGAGGAAATGTTGAATGAGACAAGCTGTGTTAAATTCCCAATCTCAGGAGGAAGATAGCCTAAAAAATAGTTATCTGATAAGAGCAGCCTCTTTAAATTCTTGAGTCGACCTATCCCATGGTCTATTAGTCCTGAGAACCGGTTCTGCTGAAGTTCGAGGGCAGAAAGATTATGAAGTTCATATAATTCAAGAGGGAAGCTTCCTGTCAGTTGGTTGTCTCCCAGCATTAGCTGCACAAGAGGCTTGCACATTTTCAGGTCATGAGGAATATTGCCAAGCAATTTATTTGACCCAAGACTGAGGAACTGCAATTTCTGATTGCGGCAAAGATGCGGAGGTATCATACCAATAAGATAATTCATGGATATATCAAGAACTGTAAGGTTGCTATTAGATCCAAGATAAGGAGGAATTTTACCCTGAAGGTGATTATCAAACAACTGCAAATCCACCATGTATGTAAGATTTTGAAACACTAGTGGTATTGTACCTGATAAGTTATTTATGGAGAGGTCTAAATTCTTTAAGAGCTTTAAATTCCCAAGCTCTTGAGGTATGTCTCCCTGCAGGAGGTTTTCAAATAGATGAAGCAATGTAAGACCAGAGATCTGACCCAACTCTTTGGGAATATTTCCACTTAAACGATTTTCAGACAGATCTATCTCAATTGCATTTGTGCAGTTCCCTAGCTCCACCGGAATTGAGCCATTCAAGCGGTTAGTGTATATGTACAACCTTTGTAAATTTGATAACTTTCCAAGCTCCTTGGGGAGAGCTCCACCAAATGAATTATGATGCAAAGCAAGCGATTGCAAGCTACTAAGATTTCCAATCTCAGGAGGGATCTCACCAGATAAAAAGTTTTGCCATAGATTTAACTCAGCAAGGTTCTGAAGCTTTTGAAGCTCCCTTGGAATGGACCCTTCTAGCTGATTCTGTGAGAATCCTAATATCTGCAAGCTCTCACACTGGCTTATTTCCGCAGGTATTGGACCTGAGATGCTGTTAACACCTGCCCTGATGATTTTAAGCTGCTTCAACTTACTGATTGATGTGGGAATTCTCCCAGTTAAGTTGTTGCTATAAATAACTAGCTCTTCAAGTGAAGTTAAATTCCCAATCTCTTCAGGCACTTCACCATGCATGAAATTTTCACAGACATAAAGCTTTCTTAGTGTGGTGATTTCGCTGAAAGGAATCAGAAGTTCCCCATGGAACCTATTTGTGCAAAGGTCTAATATCTCCAAACTACGACAGTCAACAAAATCCACAGGAATAGGACCAGAAATGAAATTTTTCGACAGATTCAACTCAACTAGCCGTGGAAGGTTACAGATGGTGGGAGATAAAGCACCAGACAGATTGAGCTGATGAAGATTTACGGAAGTTACCATTGAATCATCACAATGCACACCTTTCCAATTGCAAGGAGTAAAATCAGAAGAATTCCAGTTGTGAAGATAATTTTGGGTGTCAGCAAGAGAAGCTTTGAACCGCAAAAGATTTGAACCATCTTCATTAATCGAACTTACAAGGAAGATGCCAAAACAAAATATTAGCATCAAGCAAAACCGTTTTTTGAGGTTGCAAGCCGGACATATTGCCATTTCGCCCGCAAAAGTCAAGTTGTTAAAGCAATTCCGCAACTTTATGATCGGAAAGCATATATAAAATGGAAGAATAGCAGTGCAGAAATCTTTTACAGAAGCAGAAGTGTGAACATGAGAAAGTTCAAGGTTTAAGACAAAGCGGAAGATGAAGAAGAAAGCAGAAAATACCGTAATGGGAATGGAACCAAATCTCGTTGAGACTTAACCAAATTTCACGTCCACAGAAAAACAGGCAAACCCACGGAAGCAATCAATAGGAATCGCAGGGATATGGGAGAGAGACAGAGAGTGACAGAGACATAACCATTGATAGATGAGGAGCATGAAAGTGGAGCTGAACCGCTCGAGTCACGTTGTGGAAGGGATTGAAATGCTGGGTCAACGCGGGATGATCACTTTACAGCGAAGTGATGAGACGAAACCAACTGCTGTGTTCTGTTGGATTTCTTCTTTCTCCTCTTTTTGCTTCGTGTTCTGGCCATCCTCCACCAGGAGTAGTTATCTTCTTCAACTGTTACTATCATTTGCATTTGAAAGATTGATGAGTTGACGGGTTTAAACAATAAACGGTGCAGATTGAGAGGAGGAAGACGTGGAAAATTCTAGGATCCCAATCCCCGCCATTGTTGTTGCTGGGCCTGCCAATATGGAAATTCTAGTGGGAATTTTTCGCGCTGTTCCTTGTGAAGTCACGAGAGTAATGATTTCCCCTTCTGCTCCCAGTCAGTGGCGTGGTGCCACTTCATTCATTTTTCTAACTTTTTAGTGTGCACATAGCTTTCCGCAAAAACATTTCTAGCAACATGCTCTAGTCCTGCACAGTAGCTCCAATCCTTAGATAAGCTTAACAATTAATCTGCAAACACAGAAAAAAATAGTTAAATTATTTATTTATCATGAATGTGTATTGGTTTTTTTAAAAGTATGGATAAGATGACTGGACTTATCTATTGGTAGAAACCCCTGACAGTCAATAGGGATTTTTGGTAAAAAAGTAAGAGATAAAATGAATTGAGATTTTATATTTATAAACAAATTCAATTTCTGATTAATTCTTCTACTCCTTCGGTTCTTAATATAGCACATAATTATTCAATTAGTTGTGTTTTTAAATGTAAGGCTCATTTCTCATATCTATCAATTTTTTCAAAATATTGATATTCTCTCAACCACAATCAACTAGAAGAGTGAGGGAGAATATTAAAGAAGATAATTATGGTGTTTTCAAAAAAACAAGTCATATTATAATTAACTAACTTATCTAACTTTCTTAATATAATCAAATGAATTAAATAGATCTTATACTAAAGACCGAAAGAGTATTAAGTTTTAGAGGTAGTCTAATTTATACCTAATCAAATTACCAGAACCAGATCATTCAGTAAAATTAATTTAAAACAATAAACATATAAGAGATGTAATTTTTTTAAAAAAAATAGTCTTATTTGTAGAGAAAGTGAAAAAGGGAAAATTTGAGAAAAAAATATGTAATAATTTATTAAATGAGAGAATGTGTGATAATGAAAATATATTTATGTATTTAATGGGGTAAAAATAAAAATGATAAATTTAAATTTCAGCTAAAAAAAGTATAACATAGAAGGAATATTCAAACACTTGCAAAAATTTTAAAACTAAGAGTTATTATCTTTAAAAATTTTGGCAAAAGAAAAAAAAAATAGTCATCTTTACCGTGTTTAAATATATAACTATTTTTCCAACTCCTAATAAATCAATTTACCGCCATAAAAAACATTTAATTACGGGTAGATTTCTGAAAGGAGAGAGAAACATTTAGACATGACTAACCTTTTTTTTTGGGGGGCCTTGACATGACTAACTTTCTCAGTTTTAATAATGTTGACAACTGAGTATTAGATTGAAGATCAGAGGCAGTAATTTATAATTTATTATCCAGTTTATAAGTTATAATACTACTTGTTAAAAATTTAAGATGAGTTGTTAAAACACCTTATAAGGTGTAACTTGGTGTGATTTTAAGAGCCTTCAATCTAATGTGTCAAATTTAAATTCATAGGTATCGTTTTTTATTTTGTTTCAACGACTGATTGTCCAGGCCCACAAAAAAAAAAAAAAAAAGACGATTGATTGTGCCTTCTAAGTTACATTTTTCTCTAGGAATTCAATTTTCCTTCCTTGTCAATGCAGAAAATGAATGAAAAAGAGAAAAGAAATTCTTAAAATGCGGCGTACCTTATTCCATGGCCTACCAATCAATTAGCATGCTTATTTCCCTAGATAAAGTCTTAAAAAATCAATCAATATTATTTTAATATGTGTTCGAAGAATTTTGCATCATATCCAACTCGCTCCAAATTAGTTAGAACATCATGTAACTTTTTATGAACATAATGGTATTTAAAAAAAAATCTTAAATTGCGTGCACGAACTAAATTGTTAAGATCAAAAGTTAGGCATTATGTTAATCTCCTAATTCTAATTTAAAAAACAAATTTTTTGAAAAATGTAAAGGATGGATAATTTTATATGTGCCAACACACTGAAGTGGTTGATATAATGGCTTAGTGATAAATAATGGCATTCCCATTTGTACCCAAACTAGATGTGGTCCACTTTGTGCCTAACACTATATATATGAACTTCAACCCCTCATTGGGTGTTTAGCATTTGTTTTTAATAAAGTTGGGTTGCTTTTGTCACATCAAAATTGACTTCATCTTCTATTTTATTATTGGCGTGCAACGTTTATATAGTCTCATCCATTATTTCAGTTATTTTTTTAAGTATTGGTTTTAAAACTAAGTTATCCTTTCTAGTGTCTTTTTTGACCCTCCCCACTTCTGAGTTTGGGCAATCAAGATCTACCCAGATTCCATTATTTTTGAATTTTATAATGTTATGCAATGCTTAAACATATAATTTAATCAACCAGGGTGGCAAAGGTATAATATGACAAAAAAATATGAGTATGTAGTTTAATAATAATTATATTATATCATATAAACATCTCATTTGATTGAAGTTTCGCATACATCACTTGAAATTAAAAATTCATTGCATTTATCTTAGTCTAATGTTAAATTTCTTATTCTCCTTAAAAAGAAATCCATGATTTTTGAATAAGAATACGAATTGAGTTAATAAGAAATATCCTCATAAAAAGTTAAAACTTGACCATATTGTAGACTAAGTTTTAGTTTTAAGAGTGAACAGTGCATACTATAAAAATAAAACTGTTCCCAATTTTTATAATTCAACATTCGAATGTTAAATACAAATGTCTTTTTTTCAATGTGATCTGTTTTTTTTTATTAAAAAAAAGAATATTAAATGCGTAATATTTGCATCCACAATAGCATAGCTTTTAAGTTTTCGACATTAAGATTAAGGAGTTCAAAACAATCTCACTTATAAACTTTTTTTCTTTTAAATAAAGAATAGGTATACTCCTATTGGAGGCGATCCTATTCGAGGTATTGTCAGACACTAAATGTGGACACTTTTTCCAGTGGGGATTCAAACCTTGATTCGTCATATTGTGAGAAACTAACCCCTTCCACTAGATTCAATCCCTGTTGGTCACTTAAAGACTTTAAATCTAAATACGTTGTAAAATATTCAATTATATCTCTTTATCTCAAATTATGGGCTTTTACAATTGGTCAAGCAGTTATTGGGCTTACACACAGCCCATTAACCCCTTTCAGCCCAAACCCGCTCTGCCATTTGAAAGCATATTTCTTCGTGCGTGAGCATTAACTTTCGGTTCGGAGGAGTGCATATTTAATGCGCGACAATATTTTAAATATAATTATTTCTAATAAAAAAAATACATACGCATAGCCAAGAAAAAAACCTCAACAGGTGGGGATGGAACAGAATAAGTAATACTCCTCCGGTCCTTAATATAAGACCTATTTAACTAATTTGATTAGATTAAGAAAGTTAGGTAAGTTAGTTAATTATAAAAAAAGTGACACATTTTTTTCTAAAACACCGTAATCACCTTTCTTAATACCCCATTTCCCTCTTCTACTTGATTATGGTTGAGGGAATATCTATAGGGGTAATTTAGAGAAAATTGATAAATATCATAAATGAGTCTTATATTTAGGACCAAAACCAACTCAAGAGTTAGGTCCTATATTAAGGACCGGAAGAGTATATACAATGAATCTCTGGAAAAAAAAAAGGAAAAAGAACTGAATTATTTTATACGTACGTAAAAATGATTTTTTTTTTTTCGTGGGTGCAGTCCCTTTAGATATCTAATCTATGACGAGAATAGTTGATACTGCTAGTAATTGAGATTTGAGGGAATAATACAACACTAATCCAAACATTTCTCAGTTTTCATGACTTACAAATAAATAGACTATACTTGTGTAATCTCTCATAACTAATAAACAAACATGTGATATTTCATTCTTTGTTTTCAACAAATACAAGGGAGGCAGATGAAAGTGTTGGTATATATCACTAGACAAAAATGCTCAGATGTTTGTTTCTTTTGACTGAGAATTTGAGTGCGAGTTTCATACTTGAAAAAAAATAGCTGTTAGGAGAATTTAACACTTAAGTGGTTTGTTTTTGTCTTATAAAGATTTGTGGGGCCGATATAATTTTCAAAAACTAATTAATGAGTGTTATTGAAAAAATTAATAATGATACATACATAAAAATATACTCCGAGCCTAACTAGAATCCAAAGAAGCACAAAGATTCGGAAGCTTAAGATTATTTCCTGTACAATTGTGAGAAGCCATAGTATTAGTAGTTAGGTAGAGGAGGAAGGATTATTTATTAGGAAAAAAATTCACAAAAGAAGATTAATTTTATTAAATTCTAAATCAAATTTGGTAATAATACTTTAATAGGTTTTGGTAATACTAAACTTACAAAAAAAACAACACATTTTTGTAAAAATTCTTTATTTAGAATTTAGTAAATTTAAAATTTTTTTTTATAGGATTCTCCTGATTATTATCTCGTAATTGGTTAATGTGCAACGAGGAGGCAAGTTGGCTTAGTACTGCGAGATCAAACACGTTAAGCATAACGAATTGGTAATATTTAATGAATTTTATATGCGCGCACTATCATTACAAGAAATAAATAACCTAAAAGCAACAATCACTTTTGGGTTTAGTGGCATTAAACATTGTCATTTTATAGGGAGGTCATAGGTTTAAACATGCATTTGCTGCGCACATGAGTGTATTATTTGGGCATTAAAATATTTACGTGTGATTTTTCATTTGACCCCACTATGAAAAGACTTAAAAGTATCAGCAAACCCGAATATTTCACAATAAGCACTTCTTCTCTATTCTTTTTCCCTGGTTTTTTCCCTTAAATATGAGAGTATGAGTTCAAACAGATGTGTAAATTATGACAAACAAAATCCAGATATTAACTATATGGTAGATATTTATTAAAAATTTTTTTTGGTGAAATATTGTTTTTTGGCCATCTTTTTTGGTTGAAATATTAAACTTGGTTATTTAACCATTGAATATAAAATAACTAATCACGCGCGCAACATAGTTTGGATGATCACTGGTCAATTGAAACATGAACTCAATAGTGCCGAAAATTGAGATGAACGAATGAACAAGCAAACAAATTAAAATTAGCAAAAACATATGAAAATGCTTGTGTATGGTAAAAGTATATCATCAGGATTCATGTTTCATATACAACCCGTCCATCTATTCATGCCGTGAAAAATCACACCCAAAATTGAGCAAATTAAAATATATAGATATTTACGGTTAATCGACCCCTCCTATATATGTTTATATAAATATATATATATATATATATATATATATATCCACTAAGATGCTCACCAAGTATCTTTTTTTTTTTTTTGGACCAGGCCAAGTATCCTAAATTTTGGAAGTGGATCTCAAACACATTTCCTAGCCTTATTACTGTTAACGTAACGATAGTAATTGCCATTACTGTAGGCTGAGATTAAGTTATATTTATATCCCTTGTTATTATTTCTCTTTAGAACATAATCAAGCCCCTTGTTCCACCACCGTCTTCTCCTATTGATCACGTGACTGCTCACATGCGACCTCCCCTTCTTGATCGTTAGCCCCCGAACGTCGGGTGGCCGGTAGGTTCGGAACAACGGCCAATTGATCCCGCCAAAAAACGCGTGTCGTTTTATATCCGTCGCTCCCCTGGCGCATCCTAGCCTTCTCCTTGGGTCCTTCACTAACAATTTCTCTATCAGATCCCTCGCTTCCGCCATGCCCTCTTCCTCTACTTCCGCTACTTGGAAGCTCACGTTTCGACTTGATGCTATATTACGCAGGGTGCTCTCTTTGCTCCATCCTTTAAACGGCGTCGTCCCGTGCAACAACTCGTAAATGAACACCCCAAACGCCCACCACTCCACGCCGTTGCTCCGGCGATCTAGCCCTGGCTCCACTAAAACAGTTGCACGCGCGCTTCTTCCTCCTCGTTGGCTCTGCTCGACGCTGGAATGCGGGGACCACGTCGGCCTTGAAGCACAAATCGAAGTCGGAGAGCATGACGTGGCCGTCTTCCCGCAATAGAACGTTCTCTGGTTTCAGATCCCTATACACGATGCCAAGCGCATGCAAATATTCCAAGGCTACCAGGACCTCCGCAACGAAGAACCGAACAGCCTGGACAGGTACCCGGTTTCCGGGCTGTTTTTGTAGGAGAGAGTGCAGGTCGCCGCCGGGGCAGTAATCTATCAACAGACACGTGTAATGAGAGACCTCCATTTGGCGTAGAGCGTATGAAGAAAAGGATGGTCCACCATGGACAGGATCTCACCCTCCATTTGCACATGAGAGAGCTTCCGGCTGCTTAGCAAGTCCTTATCGACAACCTTGAGAGCGAAGTTTGCGTGATCATAGTCACGAAGACGGCAGAGGAATACTCGCCAGAGATTCCCGGTGCCGAGATGGCGGAGGAGCTTGAGGTGGTGGAGGTGAAGGGCGCCGTCTGACGAGAGAGTGGCGGCAGCTTTGATGGCGGACCAATGAGGATCGGAGGCCCGATGCGGTCGGAGGAATAGTGTAGAAGAGGAAGTGCCGGCGGTAGCGGAATCAGTGGACAGACGTTCGTTGAAGCTGAGAGTCAAGCTGCTGCAAGCCAAGCTTGTGCGAGCACTGGAGGAAGCAAAGGTCCGGTCAGTGCCGACGGAGGTGGTGCTGGTGAAGCTGAGATCGAGATCTGTATCAGGAGGGAAAAAGGTATATTCCTCCATGGCTAACACTTCTAATGGTGAAAGCCAATGGAGGGGGCTGGTTCGCATATATAAAGAGGATGACATTAATTAAAGAGAATAATAAATAATCACAAAACGAAATAAAATAAACTGAATACATCGGGTTGGCCCAAATACAAAGACAGTGACACATGAAGGTGTTAGGTTGACCAAATTGAGGTTTTTGCATGTTAAAATAAATGGCAAAGAGATAGAAAGAGAAGGAATCCGAGTAATATGTAAACGAGTATGGGTGCATTGGGGAATGGTACGTATAATAATAATAAAAGAATAAGACTAGAAGAGGTTAAGTTGGATGTGTTTTGTCCTGAAATGACAGAGTGATCCACCTAGGTAAGCCCTATCTGGTTGTGTACCCTTCAAGTTTGTTAAGACAAGCTAATTTTCTCTTATGGGCGGCTAAGTTCGATTAATTATATTACATTCGATATAAAAATTAATTCACTAATTTAAATAGATTAAAAAAAATAATTAAATTAATTATTTGTAATAAATAAGTGTTGTTTTTCCTAAACTATTTTTGCTAATTAATTGTATCGGCTAAAACTACCATTACTACAATGACTACTTTGGAAAAAAATAAATAAATAGAAAAGATAGAGTAGGTTGAGATCTTATATTTAGGATCAAATTAAAAAATTAAACTAGCTCTTATATCAAAAATCAGAGACAGTACTCATTAGTAATTCATTTCTTAAAGTAAATATATATATTTTGCATGGTTTTGATGACTTTGTTGCTCATGTAGCAGCTAGATACAGTCCACTTCGAAAACCACAATGAAAGCAGAAAACATGGAGGGTGTTTCGTTCCTAATATATCGCCGATTGATGTTTATTTATACGTACAAGTTACAGTGAAGAAGTGAAGTGGGCATCATGTTGAGCTGCAGGAGGACGTGGATTTCACTTTTGGGTAGCAGAATTTATTTATCAGAAAATAGTACTTTCCTTCTTCACACTTCATCATATCATATCATGTGTGTCACTTTGATTAGCTCTTTTTTTTTTGAGTTTTCTTTTCTTTGTGTCTTAGTTCGTTTCATCATCTTTTTGTGTTTTGGGACGACGCCCATTCGTATAGGTTCACATCAGTGTCATTCAATGAATTGAATTACTATAATTGAAGGTTCGAATATGACTCCACAGTAAGTTGTCAGAACAAACAAACAAATCTTCAAAACATTTGTTTGATCGAGCGGAAAGGAAAAAGAAAATCTTATTTTTCTCTGGCCGACAAAGCAAGTTTCTTCTTAGAGATCGTAATATTGCTCTTCTGTAGAATTGGGATGTCTTATAGAGGGATTGATGTTGTAGTTGGTTAACAAAGTATGAGCACTCCAATTGATTGTTTGTGCTCATTGCCTTTAATAATTAGTTGGAAAAAAATTCATTCTTCTACTCCAATTTGCATATTGTTCAAACTTGGATCGATATTCAACGATATAAGAGAAAAAATATCATCAAATTTATTGTGATTCTATCGTTTAATTAAATAGACTAACAAATCCCACCACCGCAGAAACAATGCTCACTATCTTTTGTTTTGATGAACCATCACTAGACCAGCTTGGAGTATGAGATGGATGACAATAATATGAACCTACTCGACACAACCCATTGTTTCCAGCAAAATTTGTAAAATTCATCTTACGAAATGCCGGTGTGTCTGGAATGACCCCTACCAGTTTATTGTTGGAAACATTGCATACTAAGAGACCGGGAAGGTCACCAATTGATGTAGGAATTTCACCAACAAGCAGATTGTCATTTAAATAAAGACTTTCCAACATTTGCAAGCTCCCAAGGCTGTCAGGAATTGTACTAGAAAGTTTGTTATAACTCAGGTTAAGAGCAATCTGAAGAGCAGCTAATTGTCCTAAATGAAAAGGAATGCTCCCAAAAAATAAGTTACCCCCGAGTTCCAAATCTGTAAGACGTGAAAGGTCCCCTAAAGCACTCGGTATTGTTCCAGAGAGTCTATTATCTGAAAGTTTCAACAGCTCCAGATTCACCAGCTTGCCAATATCATCTGGAAGATCACCAGTGAACTCATTTCTACTCAGATCAAGCCTCTGGAGTTTTATGCAGTTTCCCAACTCATGAGGTATACTTCCACTGAGAAAATTAGAGGAAATGTTGAATGAGACAAGCTGTGTTAAATTCCCAATCTCAGGAGGAAGATAGCCTACAAAATAATTATATGATAAGAGCAGCCTCTTTAAATTCTTGAGTCGACCTATCCCATGGTCTATTAGTTCTGAGAACCGGTTCTCCTGAAGTTCGAGGGCAGAAAGATTATGAAGTTCATGTAATTCAAGAGGGAAGCTTCCTGTCAGTTGGTTGTCTCCCAGCATTAGCTGCACAAGAGGCTTGCACATTTTCAGGTCATGAGGAATATTGCCAAGCAACTTATTTGACCCAAGACTGAGGAACTGCAATTTCTGATTGCGGCAAAGATGGGGAGGTATCATACCAATAAAATAGTTCATCGATATATCAAGAACTGTAAGGTCGCTATTAGATCCAAGATAAGGAGGAATTTTACCCTGAAGTTGATTATCAAACAACTGCAAATCCACCATGTATGTAAGATTTTGAAACACTAGCGGAATTGTACCTGATAAGTTATTTATGGACAGGTCTAACTTCTTTAAGAGCTTTAACTTCCCAAGCTCTTGAGGTATCTCTCCCTGCAGAAGGTTTTCATATAGATGAAGCAATGTAAGACCAGAGATCTGACCCAACTCTTTGGGAATATTTCCACTTAAACTATTTTCAGACAGATCTATCTCAATAGCATTTGTGCAGTTCCCTAGCTCCACCGGAATGGAGCCATTCAAGCGGTTAGTGTATATGTACAACCTTTGTAAATTTGATAACTTTCCAAGCTCCTTGGGGAGGGCTCCACCAAATGAATTATGATGCAAAGCAAGCGATTGCAAGCTACTAAGATTTCCAATCTCAAGAGGAATCTCACCAGATAAAAAGTTTTGCCATAGATTTAACTCAGTAAGGTTCTGAAGCTTCTGAAGCTCCCTTGGAATGGACCCTTCTAGCTGATTCTGTGAGAATCCTAATATCTGCAAGCTCTCACACTGGCTTATTTCCGCAGGTATTGGACCTGAGATGCTGTTAACACCTGCCCTGATGATTTTAAGCTGCTTCAACCTACTGATTGATGTGGGAATTCTCCCGGTTATTAAGTTGTTGCTATAAATAACTAGCTCTTCAAGTGAAGTTAAATTCCCAATCTCTTCAGGCACTTCACCATGCATGAAATTTTCACAGACATAAAGCTTTCTTAGTGTGGTGATTTCGCTGAAAGGAATCAGAAGTTCCCCATGGAACCTATTTGTGCAAAGGTCTAATATCTCTAAACTACGACAGTTAACAAAATCCACAGGAATAGGACCAGAAATGAAATTTTTCGACAGATTCAACTCAACTAGCCGTGGAAGGTTACAGATGGTGGGAGATAAAGCACCAGACAGATTAAGCTGATGAAGATTTACGGAAGTTACCATTGAATCATCACAATGCACACCTTTCCAATTGCAAGGGGTAAAATCAGAAGCATTCCAGTTGTGAAGATAATTTCGTGTGTCAGCAAGAGAAGCTTTGAACCGCAAAAGATTTGAACCATCTTCATTAATCGAACTTACAAGGAAGATGCCAAAACAATATATTAGCATCAAGCAAAACCGTTTTTTGAGGTTGCAAGCTGGCCATATTGCCATTTCGCCCAGAAAAGTCAAGTTGTTAAAGCAATTCAGCAACTTTACGATCGGAAAGCATATATAAAATGGAAGAATCGCGGTGCAGAAATCTTTTACAGAAGCAGAAGTGTGAACATGAGAAAGTTCAAGGTTTAAGACAAAGCGGAAGATGAAGAAGAAAGCAGAAAATACCGTAATGTGAACGGAACCAAAATCTCGTTGAGACTTAACCAAATTTCAAGTCCACAGAAAAACAGACAAACCCACGGAAGCAATCAATAGGAATCGCAGGGATATGGGAGAGAGACAGAGAGTGACAGAGACATAACCATTGATAGATGAGGAGCATGAAAGTGGAGCTGAACCGCTCGAGTCACGTTGTGGAAGGGATTGAAATGCTGGGTCAACGCGGGATGATCACTTTACAGTGAAGTGATGAGACGAAACCAACTGCTGTGTTCTGTTGGATTTCTTCTTTCTTCTCTTTTTGCTTCGTGTTCTGGCCATCCTCCACCAGGAGTAGTTATCTTCTCCAACTGTTACTATCATTTGCATTTGAAAGATTGATGAGTTGACGGGTTTAAACAATAAACGGTGCAGATTGAGAGGAGGAAGACGTGGAAAATTCTAGGATCCCAATCCCCGCCATTGTTGTTGCTGGGCCTGCCAATATGGAAATTCTAGTGGGAATTTTTCGCGCTGTTCCTTGTGAAGTCACGAGAGTAATGATTTCCCCTCCTGCTCCCAGTCTGTGGCGTGGTGCCACTTCATTCATTTTTCCTAACTTTTTAACGTGCACATAGCTTTCCGCAAAAACATTTTCCATATTTATTAATTTTTTTAAAATATTAATACTCTCTCAGTCATAATTAAATAAAAAAAAATAAGAATATTAAAAAAGATGATTATGGTATTTTAAAACAAACACGTCGTATTTCTTATAATTAACTAACTTATATAACTTTCTTCATATAATCAAATGAATTAAATAGATCTTATATTAAAAACTGAAAGGGTATTAAGTTTCCGAGGTAATATAATTTATAACTAACCAAATTACCTAAACCAGAATGTTCATTAAAATTAATTTAAAACAATAAACATAATAAGAGATGTAATTTCTCAGTTTTGATCATTTTGACAGTGACTCCATATTAGATTAAAGATCAGAGGCGGTAATTTATAATTTATTATCCAGTTTATAAGTTGTGATACTATTACCTCCGGTCCTTAATATAAAACCATGTTTGACTTTTATTTTGATTCTAAATATAAGACCCCAATCCACTTTGTCTCTCATATTTATTTATTTATTTTTCAAAGTAGTCATTCTAACAATGATAGTTCTAGTCAATACACTTGATTAGCAAGGATATTTTAGGAAAGACAGCACCTATATAGGACAAATAACTATCTCAACTTACTTTTTTAATCTCCTCAAATTAGTCAACTGGCTCTTATAATTAGGATCAGAGGTAGTATTTCTTAAGAATTTAAGATGAGTTGTTAAAACACTTTATATTTCAAGGACTGATTGTCCAGGCCAAAAAAAAAAAAACCAGAGATTGATTGTGCCTTCTAAGTTACATTTTCTCTAGGAATTCAATTTTCGTTTCTTGTCAATGCAGAAAATGAATGAAAAAGAGAAAAGAAATTCTTAAAATGCGCCTTACCTTATTCCATGGCCTACTAAAATTTGGATAAAACCTCTGGAATATGCCAATCAATTAGTATGCTTATTTCCTTAGACAAAGTCTTAAAAATCAATATTATTTTAATGTGTTAGAAGAATTTTGCATCAGATCTAACTCGCTCCAAATTAGATAGTATTTAAAAAAAAATCTTAAATTGCGTGCACCAACTAAATTGTTTAAGATCAAAAGTTAGGCATTATGTTAGTCTCCTAATTCTAATAATGGCATTTCCATTTGTACCCAAACTAGATGTGGTCCACTTTGTGCCTAACACTATATATATAAACTTCAACCCCTCACTGGGTGTTTAGCATTTGTTTTTCATAAAGTTGGGTTGCTTTTGTCATATCAAAATTGACTTCATGTTCTATTTTATTATTGGTGTGCAACGTTTATATAGTCTCATCCATTATTTCATTGATTTTTTTAAGTATTGGTTTTAAAACTAAGTTAGCCTTTCTAGTGTCTTTTTTGACCCGCCCCACTTCTAAGTTTGTGCAATCAAGATCTACCTAGATTCCATTATTGTTGAATTTTATGATATTATGCAATGCTTAATCATATAATTTAATTAACCAGGGTGGCAAACGTATAACATGACAAAAAAATATGATTATGTAGTTTAATAATAATTATATCATGCTCTTCCGATTCTTAATATAAGACTTATTTAACTAATTTAATTAGATTAAAGAAGTTAAGTAAGTTAATTAATTATAAGAAATATGACATTTTTTTCCCCTAAAATGTCATAATTATCTTCCTTAACATCTACTCTCCCTCTTCTACTTGATTATGGTTGAGGGAGTATTTATACGGGTAATTTAAGAAAAATTAATAAATATGATAAATAAGTCTTATACTTAGAACTAAAATCAACTTAACAATTAAATCCAATATTAAAGACCGGAAAAGTATGATATAAACATCTCACTTGATTGAAATTTAGCAACATCACTTGAAATTAAAAATTTATTGTATCTTAGTCTGATGTTATATTTCTTATTCTCCTTTAAAAGAAATCCATGATTTTTGAATAAGAATATGAATTGAGTTAATAAGAAATATCCTCATAAAAAGTTAAAATTTGACCGTATTGTAGACTAAGTTTTAGTTTTAAGAGTGAATAGTGATAGCGTTTACGTTACTAACTAAATTTCATCATAGTTCTACATTAAGGAGTTCAAAATAATCTCACTTAGAGACTTTAATTAAGGGGGTGTTTGGCTTTTTTGCCAAACACCCCTTTTTTTTTTAAAACCAAGGTTTGTGGCAAAACCTTGGTTTTGGCCAACAAAACCTTGGTTTGGGATAAGCTTGCAAGGGTAGCTTCTGGGGCGAATTATTGGCTCCAACGATACATTAGCTCACGGTTGCAGAGGTCCGTTTAGCTCACATTAGCTCACGGTTTGGCCATTCAACCCGGAACACCTCTTCTCTCCCATTCATCGCCGTCGCCAGAAGGGGCCGTAGTGAGCGAAGGCCATGTCGGTGTGGTCGTAGGTGAGGTAGCTGATGGCTATGGTGGCTGGTCGGTTGGAGAAGATGTTGTTGTGGACCTAAAGAACTTGGCGAGCGGCGTCGGGGTCAGAGATGGCGACCATGCGAAGGAAGCCCATTGAGGTGGAAAACGCTGCGATTGGGAGGCGAGCTTGGCTAGGCATCTGTGGGTGAGCTGGTCCATCATCAGCATGTTGCCGATGATGGGGAGGCCTTTGGCCCAGGCGGGAAGGGCGAGCACCAGCGAGATCGAGCGAGGAGGCCAAGGAGTAAGAGGAGCGGGATGATGAACAAGAGCGCCAATGGCAGGGGCTGGTGCAGAGAATCCATTCGTACGGGTTTTGAGGTGCTGCAACTAGGAGTGTTGCTGAGGCGAGGGAATATAATGTGCCTTTATATAAACCCCAACGCAGCTATATAGGAGTTCCGGTGAAAAAAAAAACGCAGCTATATAGGAGTATTTCATTTTTCTTTTTGAAATTATTAATTGATTGATTCGCTGATGGATCCTTGTAGATAATGGAATACAATTTTATTAAAGCATGTGATCGTATAATTAAGGTGAATATAATACTATATGTTAGTTGATATAATTAACCGACGAATTGTGATATGAACATGATATATAAATTAAAATGAAAAGGGATTTCATCTTTAAAACCTTTAAGAAATAATAATATTTTCTTTGGCAAAATAAATCATTTTTCTAAAAACATATTTATTTATAGGATTAATATATATACACACTAATTTTTTATTATTTATATTATTTATATCTTATTTATTATGTTGCCAAAATATATATTATTAATAAATTTATTACTTAAAATAAACATATATTATGAAATATATCTTATATGTAATTATCATTTAAACTTATGTCCTTTTTAGTAAATTTCACATACCAAAAAGCACTTCTGACATTAATTATCCAAACACTCTCACTTTATCAGAATCACTTTTTTAGAAAATCTATTCTTTCAGAATCTATTCTCTCCAGAATCTATTCTCCATAAGCTATTCTGCAAACCATGGTTTTGCCTCATCCAAACACCCCCTAAGTCTAAATACATTGTTAAATATTCAATTAGATCTCTTTATGTCAAATTATGGGCTTTTACAATTGGTCAAGCAGTAATTGGGCTTACACCCAGCCCATTAACCCCTTTAAGCCCAGACCTGTTCTGCTATTTGAAAGCATATTTCTTCGTGTATAAGCATTAACTTCCAGTTCAAAATTCTACTGGTTGAGGAATTCACGTTTAGTACCCGATAGTATCTTAAATAGGATAGTCTCTAATAAAAAATACATACACATAGCCCAAAAAAAAACCTTAACAGGTGCGGATGGGAGATAATAGAACAGAGTAAGTAATATACGCAATGAATCTCTGCAAAAGAAAAGAAGAAAATTAATGAATGAAAAAAAAAAAGAACTGACTTATTTTATACGTATGTAATTGAGATTTGAGAGAATAATACAACACTAATCGAAACATTTCTCATTTTTCATGACCTACAAATAAATAAACTATACTTTGCAATCTCTCATAACTAATAAAACAAACATGTGATATTTCATTCTTGTTTTTCAAGCTATACAAGGTAGGCAAATGAAAGTGTTGATATATATCACTAGACAAAAAATGCTCAGGTGTTTGTTTCTTTTGAGTGAGAATTTGAGTTCGAGTTTTATACTTGGAAAAAAAAAAGTTATTAGGAGAATTTAACACTTGCGTGGTACTTTTTTGTTTTTAAAAACATTTGTGGGGCCGATATAATTTTCAAAAACTAATTAATAAGTGTTATTGAAAAAATAATAATAATGGTAAATACATAAAAATATACTCCCAGCCTAACTAGAATCCAAATAAGCACAAAGATTAGGAAGCTTAAGATTATCTCCTGTAAAATTGTGAGAAGTCATGGTATTAGTAGTTGGGTAGAGGAGGAAGGATTATTTATTAGGAAAAAATTCACAAAAAGAAGATTAAATTTATTAAATTTTAACGGGTTTTGGTAATGCTAAACTTGCAAACAACAACACAGTTTTTGTAAAAATTCTTTACTTAGAATTTAGTAAATTTAAACTTTTTTTTATAGGATTCTCCTGACTATTATCTCCTAATTGGTTAGTGTGCAACGAGGAGGCAAGTTGGCTTAGCACTGCGGGATCAAACATGTCAAGCATAACGAATTGGTAATATTTAATGAATTTTATATGCACTATCATTGCAAGAAATAAATAACCTAAAAGCAACAATCACTTTTGGGTTTAGTGGCTTTAAACTTTGTCATTTTATGGGGAGATCATAGGTTCAAAAATGCTTTTACTGTATATGTGAGCGTATTATTTGGGCATTAAAATTTGCGTGTGATTTTTCATTTGACCACACTATGAAAAGACTTAAAAGTATCAGCAAACCCGAATATTTCACAATAAGCACTTCTTCTCCATTCTTTTTCCCCGGTTTTTTTCCCCTTTAAATATGAGAGTATGAGTTCAAACAGATGTGTAAATTATGAAAAACAAAATCCAGATATTAACTATATGGCAGATATTTATTTAAAATTTTTTGTTGAAATATTTGTTCTGCCATCTCTTTTGGTTGAAATATTAAACTCGCTTATTTAACCATTGAATATAAAATAACTGATCATGCGCGCAACATATTTTGGATGAGAATCACTGATCAATAGAGACGTGAACTCAATAGTGCAGAAAATTGAGATAAACGAACAAACAAACAAATTGAAATTAGCAAAAACATATGAAAATGCTTATGTATGGTAAAAGTATATCATCAGGATTCATATTTCATATACAACCAGTCCATCTATTCATCATGCCGTGAAAAATCACACCCAAAATTGAGCAAATTAAAATATATATATATATATATATATATTTACGGCCAATCGATCTCTCCTATGTTTATATATATTCACTAATAAGATGCTCATCAACTATCTTTTTTTTTTTTTTTTTTACCAGTAAGCGAATCTCAAACACATTTCCTAGCCTTATTACCATTAACGTAACGATAGTAATTACCATTACTATAGTTTGAGATTAAGTTATATCCCTTATTATTTCTCTTTAGAATATAATCAAGCCCCTTCCACCACCACCGTATTCTCCTATGGCTCACGTGACTGTTCACATGCGACCTCCCCTTCTTGATCGTTAGCCCCCGAACCTCGGGTGGCCGGTAGGTTCGGATCAACGGCCATTTGATCCCGCCAAAAAACGCGTGTCGTTTTATATCCGTCGCTCCTCTGCCGCATCCTAGCCTTCTCCTTGGTTCCTTCACTAGCAGTTTCTCTATCAGATCCCTCGCTTCCGCCATGCCCTCTTCCTCTACTTCCGCCACGTGGAAGCTCACGTTTCGACTTGATGCTATATTACGCAGGGTGCTCTCTTTGCTCCATCCTTTAAACGGCGTCGTCCCGTACAACAGCTCGTAAATGAACACCCCAAACGCCCACCAGTCCACACCGTTGCCATGGCCGTTGCCGGAGACCAACTCCGGCGCTAAGTACTCGTGCGTCCCAACGCATGACCTCGAGTAAGCCCCGTTTGGCTCCGCCACGAACTCCGCTTCCACCAGCTGCGCCGGCGATCTAGCTCTGGCGCCACTGAAACAGTTGCACGCGCGCTTCTTCCTCCTCGTTGGCTCTGCCCGACACCGGAATGTGGGGGCCACGTCGGCCTTGAAGCACAAATCGAAGTCGGACAGCATGACGTGGCCGTCTTCCCGCAATAGAACGTTCTCTGGTTTCAGATCCCTATACACGATGCCAAGCGCATGCAAATATTCCAACGCTACCAGGACCTCCGCCGCGAAGAACCGAACAGCCTGGAGCGGTAGCCGGTTTCCCGGCTGTTTTCGTAGGAGAGAGTGGAGGTCGCCCCCGGGGCAGTAATCTATCAACAGACACGTGTAATGAGAGACCTCCAATTTAGCGTAGAGCGTAGGAAGAAAAGGATGGTCCAGCATGGACAGGATCTCACCCTCCATTTGTACATGAGAGAGCTTCCTGCTGCTTAGTAAGTCCTTATCGACAACCTTGAGAGCGAAGTTTGCGTGATCATAGTCACGAAGACGGCAGAGGAATACTCGCCCGAGATTCCCGGTGCCGAGATGGCGGAGGAGCTTGAGGTGGTGGAGGTGAAGGGCACCGTCTGACGAGAGAGTGGTGGCAGCTTTGATCGCAGACCAATGAGGATCGGAGGCCCGATGCGGTCGGAGGAATAGTGTAGAAGAGGAAGTCCCGGCGGTAGCGGAAGCAGTGGACAGACGTTCATTGAAGCTGAGAGTCAAGCTGCTGCGAGCCAAGCTCGTGCGAGCACTGGATGAAGCAAAGGTCCGGTCAGTGCCGGCGGAGGTGGTGCTGGTAAAGCTGAGATCGAGATCTGTATCGGGAGGGTAAAAGGTATACTCTTCCATGGCTAACACTTCTAATGGTGAAAGCCAATGGACTGGCTGGTTCGTATATATAAAGAGAAGGAAATTAACTAAAGAGAATAATAATATAATCACAAAACGAAATAAAATAAACTGAATACATCGGTTGACCCAAATACAAAGACAGTGACAGATGAAGGTGTTAGGTTGACCAAACTGAGGTTTTGCGTGTTAAAATAAATGACAAGGAGATAGAAGGAGAAGGAATCCGAGTAGTATGCAAACGAGTATGGGTGCATCGGGGAATGGTACGTATAATAATAATAAAAGAATAAGACTAGAAGAGGGTAAGTTGGATGTATTAGTATTTAATAGGTATGGCTTTATATCTACGTCTTTTGTCCTGAAATGACAGAGTGATCCACCTAGGTAAGCCCTATCTGATTGTGTACTATTCAAGTTTGTTAAGACAACCTAATTTTCTCTTCTGGGCGGCTCAGTTCGATTAATTATATTACATTTGATCGTTAATATAAAAATTAATTAACTAATTTAAATATATTAAAAAAATATTTTAATTAATTATTTGTAATAAATAAGTATTGTCTTTCGTAAACTATCATTACTGATCAAGTGTATTGGCTATATACAATAACTGTTTTGGAAAAAAATAGATAAATATGAGAGACAAAGTGGATTTAAGTATTATATTTAGGATCAAAATAAAAATTAAACGAGATCTTATATTAAGCATCGGAAGTAATATATTTTTTTGCATGGTTTTGATGACTTCAGTGCTCATATAGCAGCTAGATACAGTCCACTTCGAAAACCATAATGAAAGCAGAAAACATGGATGGTGTTTCGTTCCTAATATATCGCCGATTGATGGTGTTTATATATATAAATTGCAGTGAAGAAGTGAAGTGGGTATCATGTTGAGCCGCAGGAGGACGTGGATTTCACTTTTGGTTAGCAGAATTTATTTATCATAAAATAGTGCTTTCCTTCTTCACACTTCATCATATCATATCATGTGTGTCACTTTAATTGGTTCTCTTCTTTTTTTTTTGATTTTCTTTTCTCTGTGTCTTAGTTCATTTCATTATCTTTTTGTGTTTTGGGACGACGCCCATTCATATAGGTTCACATCAGTGTCATTCAATGAATTGAATTACTATAATTGAAGGTTCGAATATGACTCCACAGTAAGTTGTCAGAACAAACAAACAAATCTCCAAAATATTTGTTTGATCGAGCCAAAAGGGGGAAAAAAAATCTTCTTATTTTTTTCTGGCCGACAAAGCAAGTTTCTTCTTCTTAGATGATCGTGATATTGCTCTTTTGTAAAATTGGGAAGTCTTATAAAGGGATTGATTTTGTAGTTGGTGAAGAAAGTATGAGCACTCCAATTGATTATTTGTGCTCATTACCTTTAATAATTATTAGTTGGAAAAATTCATTCTTCTACTCCAACTTGCACACTTCAAACTTGGATCGATATTCAACGATATAAGAGAAAAAATATCATCAAATCAAATTTATTGTGATTCTAACGTTTAATTAAATGGACTAACAAGGTGATCGTGACATAATTTTTTAACCAAAAATTAAATTCCAACTTTTTTCGTACGTACTCAAAACCATTTAATATTTCGACAATATCCTAATAAAAATCTTATGATTAGATTTATTGTAATGTGAAAAATCAACACTGAATAGATCTGTACACAGCGCCCACATGATCCCTTTTCCTTTCATTAATTAAACCACCACTTGGTGGAGCTTTGGAAAAACTTCAAAAGACACACACACACGCGCACACACTGGTCATTCGATCGGATAATATACCATGAAATGAAAATCATAAAACTACTCATTTGAGTTTTACTGAATCTAACAATGGTGAATATATTTCTTTTTTATTTTACATGTAACTTATAAACATGCAATAATGATCTATACTAGTATATAACAGTGACATTAGTTCATTGGTTTATGACTATTATTGGTGTATTGAATATTATGTGACTCTATATTAAGGGTTGGTTGAATTAGAGTAATGATTAGAAAAAAAAAAAAGGGATATATGAATATTATTTTAACATTAAGTATTAATCAAATCAAGGGCATTTTTTTTATATGTACTAATGCTTCTGATCTTTAATATAAGAGTTAGTTTAATATCTAAGAATCTAATCCATTATGTCCTCATATTTATCCATTTTTTTAAAGTAGTCCTTGTAGTAGTTTCATATGTTAAATATTTTATCAAATGATAGTTCTAGTTAAAAAATAAGATTAGTAAGGATATTTTAGAAAAGGTAACACATACTCCTCCAGTCTTTAATATAGGACCCAATTATTGAGTTGATTTTGGTCCTAAATATAAGACTCGTTTTTTATATTTATCAATTTTCTCTAAATTACCTTTATGGATACTCCCTCAACTATAATTAAGTAAAAAAGAAAGAGGGGGTATGAACAAAAATGATTATGGTATTTTCAGAAAAACATATCACATTTTTTTATAATTAACTAACTTACCTAATTTTCTTAGTCTAATCAAATTAGTTAAATGGTTCTTATATTAAGGATCGGAGGAGTATTTATTATAAATAATTAACTTAATAAACTTTTTAAATTTATTTAAATTAGATAGATAGTTATATTAAGGAGAAATAATGATATACTATCTCTTATCCTAATTATAAAATTTCATTCATAACCTATAAATAAGATTTTATAATTAAAATAGAAGGTATTATAATAGGGAAAATGACAATAAAATACCACTTGAATTCCAAAAAGACAAATAAGGGACCTGAATAAGCAAAATGACAAAGAAGGCATCAGGTACCAATATGGGATTTTGATTTTGAATTTTACAAAACACATAGTGGGATTTACAACTTTCATAGTGAGAGTTACTACTTCGTCAATGGGTTTTACAACCTGTTTTGAAGGGCCGAGCAAGTTTTGCCTAATTTTACAAACACATAGTGGGATTTACAACTTTTATAATGAGAATTACTACTTGGTCAATGGCTTTTGCAACCTGTTTTGAGGGGTTAGGCAACTTTTCTATAAAAAACAATACAATTCCACGCTGAATTTTACAAAACACATAGTGGGATTTACAACTTTCATAGTGAGAGTTACTACTTTGTCAATGGGTTTTGCAACATGTTTTGACATCAAAAATCAAAATTCCAGATTGGTACCCAGTGCCCTATTTGTCATTTTGCTTATTCAGGTCCCTTATTTGTCTTTTTGGAATTCAAGTGGTATTTTATTGTCATTTTCCCATTATAATATTGTTAAGTAATGAGAAGGTAAGGGGAGAAATAAATGGAAGGGAAAATGACAATAAAATACCACCTGAATTCCAAAAAGACAAATAAGGGACCTGAATAAGCAAAATGACAAATAGGGCACTGGGTACCAATTTGGAATATAGATTTTTGGCCAAAAGACCGAATTGCCCTGATTGTCTCTGAACATTGAGCAGTGTATTCATGCGATAGAGAAAGGGAGAAACTGATTTCCTTCTACGAAACTAAATCCAAGTTCCTGCAATCACCAAAAAGGATTTTTCGAAATCACGTTGCCGTCGTCGTAGGAGTAGATTGCCATCGCTGAATTTGGTTACCATCGCTGAAATACATTGCCCTGTCTGAAATAACTTGTACCCCTGAAATTGTCGTCGTCGAAGAGGTCGCTGAAGTATTTGAATTATTCATGAGTGAGTAGAAGTTGATGGCGGGATTTGGATTATTCATTTTTGTGGCTGTTTCATGGTGAAATAGGAACAGGATTATTGCATTTGAGGGTTCATATTCAGTATTTGGTGAATGATGAAGCAGAAATCAGAAAATAGTCGCAAGCAATTACGTAATGTAATTGCTGTCATATGTTTGCTGGTTTTTGGTAAATCCCATTCCGTGAATGGTAAATCCCATTCCGTGAATGGTAAATTTTAATATACATGTAGTTAATTATGAAACTTAATAGTTCAATGTTTATTGTGATGTACTTCAGGTGCACGTTCACTGAATGATTTATTTATGCTTACAAGTTGCTCTTCCGGTGAAAACAGGTTTACAAAACCCATTGAAGAAGTGGTCACTTTCACTATAAAAGTTGTAAATCCCATTATGTGTTTTGTAAAATTCAGCGTGAAATTTTATTGGTGGTGAAAAGTAAGTTACTCATCCCCCGAAAATATATTGCAAAATCTATTAACAAAGCGGTCAGTTTTATCATAAAAGTAGTAAATCCCAGCATATGTTTTATAAAATTCAACGTGAAATTTTATTGGTTTTTAGAAACAAGTTACCTATCCCTTGAAAACAGGTTACAAACGCCATTTAAGAAGTAGTCATTTTCACTATAAAAGTTGTAAATCTCACTGTGTGTTTTGTAAAATTCAATGTGAAATTTTATTGGTTTTTAGAAACAAGTTGCTCATCCCCTAAAAAGAGGTTGCAAAACCCATTTAAGAAGTGATCATTTTCACTAAGAAAGTTGTAAATCTCACTACATGTTTTGTAAAATTCAACATATAATTTTATTGGTTTTTATAAACAAGTTGCCAATCCCTTGAAAACATGTTGCAAAACCCATTGAAGAAGTGATCATTTTCATTATGAAAGTTGTAAATCTCACTATGTGTTTTGTCAAATTCAGCGTGAAATTTTATTGATTTTTAGAAACAAGTTGCTCATCCCCTGAAAAGAAGTTGCAAAATTCATTTAAGAAGCGGTAATTTTCACTACAAAAGTTGTAAATATTACTCTATGTTTTGTAAAATTCAGCATAGAATTTTATTGGTTTTTAGAAACAAGTTGTCAATCCCTTGAAAACATGTTACAAAACCCATTGAAAAAGTGATCATTTTCACTACGAAAGTTGTAAATCTCACTATGTGTTTTGTCAAATTTAGTATGAAATTTTATTAGTTTTTAGAAACAAGCTGCCCATCTCCTGAAAACAAGTTACAAAACCCATTGAATAAGTGGTCATTTTTACTACGGAAGTTG